ACAAATTTATTTCTCTCTCCAAGGAGTAGATTATTCTTACAAGATTTTAACAGTACAGTACAGCGCAAATGTTTAACTTGCTTTATCTCTACTTGCTCATTCATTTCTCTATTTCATTTGCCCACTGTAACTTTTATCCTGCTAAAAATTTTTAAAGAACCTTAATAAGCACTTCCTTATAAAAATAATTATGATTGTGAGGCCACCTAGTGTTTTAAGAAGTACATATTATTTCACATTACTGTCTTGTTGAAAAAGGTGTTTTCACTATTACTAATATAGCAAAAAAGCTACAATATATCAGTATATGAGAGTCAACTGATAATAGTATTTTCTCTTACGTATACGAAAAAACACAGTAGAAATTATTAAAATTTAGTTCATATTTATTAAACTTGACAAGTACCTCAGATACGTATTTGAAAGTTCAAAGAAATTATATTATGCGTCACTAAAAATTCATAAAGTTCTTCAATATAATTCTAACTCTTTCAAAGATCTAAGATAGGAAAAGTAAACTGCTTCATATGACAGGAAAATTAGGTATAAATTCTTAATGAATCTTCTCGGAGAGGGTAAAGGTCACCGCTAATCCACAGCACAGTGACACAATAACCACTTATTTTCAGCCTCCGGCTCTGGGTTTCTCAGCCCCAGCACTCCCAGCACGGGGACCAGGTCACTGTTTGCAATGTGATGCTGTCCAAGTGATGTGGGAGCCTTAGCTGAGTCCCGGCTTCCGCCTCCAGCTGTCTGAGCACAACCGCTCACTCTTCCCCTTCGCTGGACCCCTGGTCTCCAGACACCCACATGCTCTGAGGTGGAGAAGGAAAAACTGCCGCCCCCAACCGCCGACACAGAGGAACAACGCAGGCAGGGAAACAGGTTGAACGGGTCAAAAAAGGCTTCAAATACTACATGAATTAAAAAGCGATTATAAATGAATTAGAGAAGGGTCACAAAGAGAAGAAGAGCACCTTCAGGGTCCTGGTGCACCAACCAGCCGTGTTAGGATTTTTGGGCAATCTGCCCCACCTCCGTAACACGAGGCGTAATCTCTGCAGACCCCGCAAACTGAGTACACTGCTGCTAAACTCCTATCTCCTTTTAAAAATTCAGGCGTCCAGATTTTTATAATTAGACACAAATGTGCTGAGAAGTAATATAATTTTTAAAAATAATTCCGCAAGTCAAACAAAACATTTGGCTTCTGGGCAACTGTTTTGTTACTTTCTGCCAGGAGCGAGAGTTCTGACAAGACAGAGTGGCTCTGGGTCCAACGATCTAGGAAGCCGTGCCCAGCCACATACGTGCCAAGAGGGGAGAGCTGTTGCCAGCGCATCCGTCAGCTTGAGGTTCTCTAAGCGCTGAGCTGGTTACAGGCCGGGCGGACCAGTCCCTTGCGAGGCCTCTAGAGCACCTCCAGGGGGAACACAGGCACCTAAGCCCACTCTAGTAGGAAGGAAAGAGCAAGCCAAGAGCTGGTCCTTGAGCAAAGCCTCCAACTCAGGGTGCCTCCTGGGGCCAGGGAGGATAAAGCCTGCAATTCTACTCAGCTAGCAAGTGACCAGCCCTTGGGAAGGAAGGAAAATGCACTGCGTTGTGACCCTTCTCTAATTACATTCACTTTTTTTTTTTTTTTTTTTTTTTTGAGACATGGTCTCGCTATGCAGTTCAGGCTGGCCTTGAGCTCACTTTGTAGCCCAGGCTGGTCTCGAACTCGCAATGATTCTCCTGCCTCAGCCTCCCGAGTGCTGGGATTACAGCAAGCACCACCACGCCCGGCTACAATCACTTTTTAAATCATGTATTATATGAAGCCTGTGATACCAGCACTTGGGTGGCTGAGGCAAGAGGATCGCTGCGAGTTCAATGCCACCCTGGGCTAAATAATGAGTTCAAGGCCAACCTGAGCTACACAGGACTCTGCTTCAAAAAAAATTTTTCTTCCCAAAAATGTTTGTTCATTTGCTTAGTTATTCATTTACTTATTTATAGACTAGGTCTCACTGTTGCCCAGGCTGGCCTTGAACTTTGATCTTCCTGCTTTGGCCTCTTAAGTAGCTGGAATTACAGATCTGCACCACCACACTCACTCCAGGTACCTTTGGAGAGACCTGCACTTTGAATTTCATTATAGGTATGCCTTTAAGCTCAATAGGTCCTAGGGGTATCTCTTCTATAGGATAAAGAAAAAGCTTACCAATCTTAATCCCCTAGCCAAAAAGATCCTTCCTCTGGTATGGTACCAAGTACTGCTCTAAATGCTTTACAAATAATGACTTGTTTAATTCTAACAATCTTATGAGTTAGGTATCTTTACTACCCCAATATACAGAGAAAGTTAAGACATAGAGGTAAACTAATCAGATATGGTGGCACTTGGGAGGCTGAAGCAGGAAGATTGTGAGTTCAGACTAACAAAGTACCCTACTCTTGCCTGGCGAGTGACAACTATCTGTCTTTTCACAACCAGTCTTCTTTGCAAGGAGAATTTAAGAAAAAAAAAAATACCTTTAATGGAAGAAGCAGGCTTAATTATAGCAAACAAAGGAAAGGGTAACTGAAACCAACCACACAAAACAGAGTAGACCCCCCCATGGAAGGGCATACATATGAAAGAACTTTTCCTTTTCTTTTTTGTCTTTTTGAGACAGGGTCTCACCATGCAGTTCAGACTGGCCTTGAGCTCACTTTGTAGCCCAGGCTGGTCTCAACTCAAAATGATCCTCCTGCCTCAGCCTCCCAAGTGCTGGGATTACAGGCGTGCGACACTATACTCAGCTATGAGAATTTTGCTTTTCCCATCTAAAAACTCGAAGCAAGGTGGTTCTCCCAATGCTAATATATGTCCTTCTCTCTCCTTCTACAATCTCTCCATTCCCATGCTTGGGGCAGCCTTGCTCACTGTGCCTTTCAGCCACTCACAGTCAGCTTCCCACAGAGCCTTCCCAGCTGGCCCCAAGGTGGCTCTTTATCAGTTGGGGAAGTCAGAGGTCCAGGGCACAGGCCGAGTTTGTGGTCAGGAGTCCTCTTTTCCAAACCTCCCTCAGGTCTGCCCACAGGTTTGCTTTACAAACAAACCTTAATGCCCATAGGTCAACTGCAGGCCCGAGGGCACAGAAACTCCCGGCCCTCTTCTCCACTCCTATTTTCTCACTGGTACTTCTCAGCAACTCAGGTTGTTTCATCGATTTTACCATCATCTCCACAACCTCCATGAGCTGTTTTATTCACTGTAAGTCTCGGGGATTTGAAGACCGCCTGGCACTGAGGATGCGCATGGATATCTACTGGACGAGTGAATAAATACGAATCTAAAATGGATATGCACTTGTCTCATCTCTTCACTGGTCAAATTCAGGCTTCGACCTCAGAACTTCCTGGAAAGAAGAAACTGGGAGTGTTACTTCAAAAGGGAGATAGCTGGCAGTGTGGTGGTGGGTGCCTGTTATCTTAGCACTCAGGAGGCTGAGGCTGGAGGATTCCTGAGTTCAAGGGTAGTCTGGGCTACATAATGAGACCCTGTCTCAAAACACCAAAAAACAAAAACAAAGCAACAACAACAACAACAAAAAACCCCTCTACTTACAAAGTCAGGGGTTACAGTACAATTACAGTTGCCAGCCACAGCAGCTACTAAATAACAGGTGATGCTAAGGTCCTAACAACAACCTCAGTAAAAGACACAGAACTTATCCTTTGGTCCTTCAGCCCTCACCTCCCGCCCCGATCACTTCCCAGACAAAAAATGTGGGAGTGAAAAACAGTGGTTTCGCGTGTGTGTTACCTAATAAATGTGTATGTGCAAGGTCTTGGGTTCAGATGTGTGCATGTGTGTTATTTCATGTATGTGTACGTGCAAGGTCTTGGGTTCAAATGTGTTTGTGTTATTCAATGGGGCTAAAGTTGGGAACCACTAGTTCATCATTCAAATCTGCACGGGGCGAACAGGCAGAGGTCAAACCAAGTGTGGAACGCTGTCAAAACCCACAAGTCAAACTCAAAAACAGCACCAGGGTCCGGACATTTGAGAGAAGGCTGTTAGACAGGAGCACGAGATTCACGAGAAAGGGAAAGTTAGGCTTTGGGGTGGCGGGAGAGGCTATGGAACGGAAGGCGCCCCTCGGTCCCTAACCAACCTTGTCATGTCACAACCTGACTTTTGCCAAATTACTGAGCACTTCTGCAGCCTGCACTTCTGAGTTCACACGACGGCGCTCCACGCAGTCCACTAACTTACCTCCTGGCGGAGCACTTGCAGCAGCCGCGCTGCGGGCAGTCAGGCCCAGGACTCGCCCCAGAAGTGCCGCCCGCAGGGCACAGTAAGCAGGCAGCCCGTGTGCAATCGCAAAGCGGGCCGCGGGCCTCTGTCTGCGGCGGTCGGGAGCGGCTCTTCCTGTAGGCGGCCGGACCGTGTCCGCTCTCCCCCTCGGCTGCCCCGACTCTCCCGCCACACGCGTCCCTCCCGCAAAGCTGCGTCCCGGGTCCCTGCACACCCTGCCGACTCCTCGCCCACCGCCGCCAAACCTCGTTACAACAATGACAAGTGCTTACGCGGAGACCACCTTCCCGTCCAGGATGCCCGCCGGCGCCATAGCTGTTACTAGTGCGCTGCCCACGACGCTCGCCGCGAAACCCGAGCTCACCCCGCAGCCACCTGACCACACGACCCACGTGCTCAGCGACTGCCCAGCGAGGTCGCGCTACTGCGCCTGCGCCCCCACCCCCAGGCGCGTCGCATCCGGCAAGACCAGAGTCCCTTAATCAATTTGGAACTGAGGGGCAACGGGCTGCGGACGCAAGAGAGGGAAGGGAAGAGGAGGAAAATCGGTGATGACTGGCTGAGGGAAATGATTGGCTGCCGGAAAGAGCCTGTGCAGAGTGCATTCTGCGTGGGGCGGGAACCCGCGAAAAGGAGGCTGGGACAGATTAAAGGACCCGCGAGATTCCAACCAATCAGGGCGCGGGGCGGGGCGGTGGGGGCGGGGCAGGGCGATCTCGCGGGAACACAGCCTAGCGGACGCGGGAGGCGCGTCTTCTGAACCGGTCTGAGCTGTGGTAACTCCGGGTGGGCTCCGAGGACTTCGCCAGGAGCTGCGGTTGGCCCTTCGCGGGAGCGGGGACGACGCCAGGTGGCCGCGGGTGTAGAGCCCGGGGCGCGTGGGCGACTTTCTCACACCCGCGCCGCGCGACTGGGGCCTGGGGTCTGAGTCCAGGGGCGGGCGACTGAAATCTCGGGGCACCTGCTGCCCGCCCAGGGGATGTAGCTGCGTGTGCAGGTCCTGGATTCCACCCCTGGTGACACACAGAACTGGGCGCTCAACCACTGAGTTGTACTCTCAGCCACTCCTTTACCGTTAAGCTTGCGCAGTGGACGCGTTGAGGTGCAGTGACAGGGAGACAGTTCATTTCCTACACAGCCGGCGCGCAGTGTGGAAGAATGAAGTCGGGAACCGAAAGGAGGACGTTGGGTTTTTGCTGGAAATGAGGGAGAACAGGAAAGAAGGGCCATGGTTTCTTCAGGAGGGAAATGAACAGTGGAATTTTTGCATGGCCCCACTGTTCAGAACTTTTTATAGGTGGAACGCGTGCATTGCTCCGTTGTTTAGCGGCCACCTATCACGGGTGGCTCTGAATTTAAAATGACCAATCGGAGCTCAGGTTCTCTAACCCAGTTACTCAGCATGTAAAGTCTAAAGGAAATGGATTTTGGACGGAAAACTGGTTATTTTGCGCTTTTAAACTCCTCAAAACTCTGGAAAGTCTGCAACTCCCTTTAGTAGGGAGGAGACAGATAACTCCCAAAAGCGGTGCCTGGTATAGGTCTAAAACTTCCGTACTTCATCTCTGTATCTATTGCCTTTGCCGTATCAACAGACAGATTTGCAGCTGTTACATAAATATACGACCCATGCAATTCGTTTATTCATTGAGCAAATAATGTTGAGCTGCCACTGTATGGCAACAATACTGCTCTAGATGCTAGAGGAATACTAGCAAACCAAATACTGTAGTGAACTGTTTTTGCCCCCGCCTCATATTCTCTTGAGGGGAGTCAATGGTCAATTAAAGAAACATACTTGAATTGTAGAGATGGAGGCATACTATTTACTTATTTTTTTTATTTTGCAGTGCTGAGGATTGGGCCCAAGGCCTCTTGCAAACCAGGCAAGCCCTCTACCAGTGGGCTCTTCCCCAGTCTCAAAACGTGCTATTTTTTAAAAACAGGTAAAGTCAGGATGGATAGTGGTGGTGGGAAGGTTGGGAGAGTGCAGTTTTAAAACTGTGAAAGAGCTGGGTAGAGCAGCACACACCTGAAATCCCAGCATTTGGGAGGCTGAGCGGGACAGTAGGGAGTTTGAGGCAAGCCTGGACTACAGAGTGAGTTCACGGCCAACCTGAACTGCATAGCAAGACCCTGTCTCAAAAAGACAAAAACAATTATGCAAGAATTTTCTCTAGGCTGCTGACTTCAGCAAAAGCTTGAATGAAGAGAGGAATTCAGAGTACTAAGAGAAAGGCAGGATTTGAATTTGATTTGAGCAGTTGGCGGAGGGAATTGTCATTTGACCTTCCTATGAAAGTGTCGCCCAACAGGGACCTAGGGAGTTTCTAAACTAACCCTACCCATAGGATTAATTTGCAGGTCACTGACTCCAATTGGTGGAGAATTTTCAGGGCACATCAGAAAGAGCCATAAAGGGATTTATTAGGTAACAGTGTAAAAATCATGTACTCAAAGCAATAGAGTGCAGGCCCTCAAGAGAAGAGAGACTCATCATGATCTGGATGTGGGTGTATTTATGGGTCTTTGGGGCAACTTTCAAGATGGTTCTGACCATCTAATGCTGGTTATGTGGCACAAGCCTATAATCCCAGCACTTGGGACGCTGAGGCAGGAGGATTGCAGTGAATTTGAGGTCGGTCTGGGCTATGTACTGAGTACAAAGCCAGCCTGAGTTACATAGAGACCTTGTCCAAAAAAGAAATAAACCATAAATCCCCCATGATAATGGACCTCCTGCCAGGTACAATGGCACATGCCCATCATCCCAGCACTGTGAGAGGCTGAGGTAGGAAGATAAAAAGGTCAAACCCATCCTGACAATTTAGCGAGTCCCTACCTCAAAAAAAAAGGGGTGGGGGTTGTGGGGTGTTGGGGACATAGCTGAGGGCAAAGGCAAAGGTTCAATCTCTAGTACTGTGGAGGGAGAGAGAATTTAAAAAGCAATTTAGAAAGACAAGAAAGAAAGATCTCCTTGTTAAAGAAAAGGTAGTATGTATGGACATGTAACAGTTTTCACACATTGCTGTTGTTTGTTTTGGGAGTTCTGGAGATTCAACCCAGGGTACTGTGCATGCTTGGTAAGTCTGATAGCACTGAGCTAAATCCCAGCCCAATTTCCACATTGTTAAGTGATAAAGACAGGTTATCCATAAAATATATAATGTAATTTATGTTAATATACCCAAAAAGGGCCTTTTATCAAAAGTTACAGCTGGATGTGGTGGTGCATGCCTGTAATTCCAGCACTCAGGAGGCTGAGACAGAAGGATCACTACAAGTTTAAGGCCAGCATGAACTACACAGGGAGATCCTGTCTAAAAAAGCAAAAAAAGTTGCCATCTTGGCTGGTGGTGTAGTTCAGTGAGTGGTACAGTCTTTTGCACTGTCTCCAGCTTTCTCACTAACTCCATTTAATCTTATGTTGTTCTTCTTTGCCTCATCTTGTAGCTGTTGGATTGATTTTTCATGGTCTCTTGCTATTTTTAGGATATCTCTCTTTTCATGGTTGCTAGCCATAATCTTGTCTTCTAGATATATTCTATCCTGTCCTTCATTCAATCTGTTGTATATACTTTCAGTGGAATTTTTAATCTCCAGGATTTCTGTTTGGATCTATTTTATGGGTTTTATTTGTTTCATATGTTCAGCATTCATGGTTTCCATTGTTTTCCAGAGATCTTGTATTTCTTTTATCTGTGTCTGCTTTAATGTCATTAATTCTGATGATTATTTTTTTTCTAGTACCAGAGTTGAACTCAAGACCTTGTGTTTGCCAGGCTGGTGCTTATACTACTGAGCTATATCCCCAGCCCTGATCATCTTTCTTTTTTTTTTCAACTTAGAGATTATTTTTTCTATCACTTCTTCCATTTATTTTTTTCACTTCTGCTACTATCATTTCATTTTTTTTCTTGAGACAGGGTCTCAATATGCAGTTCAGGCTGGCCTTGAGTTCACTTTGTAGCCCAGGCTGATCTCGAACTCTCAATGATCCTCCTGCCTCAGCCACCCAAGTGCTGGAATTACAGGCGTGTGCCATCACACCTGACCCTGTTGCTATCATTTCAGAAAGTTCCAGTGGTTGCCTTCTGATTTCCTCTATCTTATCATGCTTTGGACTTGTTCTGGATGGGCTGGGGGTGTTGGGTTGCATTTTGCTTCTGTGTCTGGTCATTTTCTGTTTTCTATTTTTGTTTATTTTGTTTTCTGTGTTGATGCTTATAGATTTCTACAGGTAGATAGCTTAATGCCTACTATTGAGGCTTCCATAGGAAATGGCTGTTCCTCAGGGATGTTTTCTAGATGTAGGTGGTTCTTGGTCTTTGTGTCTATCCAAAGAACCTACATTCCCAATGTATTAAGGATGAGAAGTTGTTATCTATTTGCTCAGCACCCAGTCCTCTAGTGGTAGACTATGGCGATGGTAGTGACCACATATAGAGTGTTGTCATACAGGACAGAAAAACTGGTTATAAGAAGTATGATGTTCTGGCTAAAGTAGTACACTTAGCAATAACAGTAGTCTTAAGTGCAGCCTGGCTGCTGACAAACTGTAGTAACTATTAGCCTGATACGTTTAACCATAGGAGCAAATTCCACAGTTATATAACAGAATGCAGCATATACCAGGAACTCCTATGCAATGATTTTCCCCTGTTGTGGGAGGAAGGGTGTTTACAGGGATAGGGAGAAGGCTAGAGAGATGAGTGAGATGCAATAGGGTAGGAGCAAGGCTGGAGGGCAAAGGATGATCACCCAAGGTATAAGAAGCTGGAGGACAGAAGAAGGGAAGAATGGAAGAAGCAGCAGTACACTATTGAAGTGAACCAGGAAGAGAAGAGATAATGTTTACTCACATGAAAGTATCATAAAATCAAGGAAGATAGTTGACAGAAGAGAGTAAGAAGACTAGTAGATGAAAACAAAAAGGAAGGTAATAAATCTAAGTCATTAAAGAAAGAGAGCCAGGGATATAACTCAGGGGCATAGTGCCTGCCTGGCAGCATGGGGTTGTGAGTTCAATTCTTGGTATCAAGAAGAAAAAAAAAGTATAAAGAAAGAGAAAAGAAAAAAAGAAAAAAGAGACTAAAAACAGCAAACAAAAATAACCCTAAAGAATAAAGCTAAGCCAAATTAAGTCAAACAAAAGAGACCTCAACTGGAAAAGGAAAATCAAGCAAACAAACATAGAGAAATAAACAATGTAAAATTCCTCTGGTGTTCACAGTTCTGTGGTAGGTCCAAGTCTGATTCCAGTAATGTGTTGTGTACTCCAGGCAAGTTTCAGTGGTATTTGTGCTGGGTATAGGGCTGATCTTGGCCTTAAGATGTGAGGGCTGGGGCTGATGTTCTATTCCTGGAGTTTTCCCCAGCCCTTTGATATATTTTTTACAAAATGCTGGTCCCACCTGCCTGCTTCTATTCCACCATGTGTGCCAAAGCACAGCACTTGTTCATCTGACTTACCAACTGCTGGTGTGAGTGCCTGCACCTGAGCCTTGGTGTGTCCCAGGAGTCCACTGCTTGGGGTGGTCTGGGCTGTGCGTGTGCACCCTGCCACCACTGCCACTGGTGCCTTGATGGGTAACCCCACTTTTTACTTTTTTATTTTTTTCTTCTTGTTCTTACTCTTTTTTATTACCTTTATCTAATTCTATTAATTTACTTTTCCTCCTTAATAGGATAGTTTAGCTCAGTTTTTTCCTCCTCATCTTCCAATGCTTAATTTTCCAAAATTTTCTTCTATCATTCAATTAATATAACCATTAAGCCTTAATTTTTAGATACTCTGTGCCACTACTGTTGAGTATTCTTCTATTGTTAGTGGCGATATAGTTGTTACATTTAGTAGATATTTACTGTATGTCAGTATTTTGTTTGTCTTAGGGTTTAGACTGTCATTGTAAACCTCTTTTCTATGTTTAAGGGTGGTACATTATTGGTTCTTATGGTGTATCATATCCAGTTTGTCTTTAACACTATTATTGTTGATGATTTAGTTGCTATTGCCACAGTGGCATAGTTGTTGATATTAGTAGGTTTTCTCTGTATGCCAGTGTCTGGATTGCCTGTGTGTCATTAACAATACTGTGGTCCATCCCAGAGAACTGGTTCCTCAGTCACTTGCACTGCATCCTCCCCTCCCAAATTAACAGAGATGGTGAGATCTTGGAAGAGAGGCGAAGGCCTATATAGTTAGCCACACCCATGCATCACTTAAAAGGTGTCACTAGAAAGCTCAACTATAGGTATACACAAACTTCAGCACACACACACACACACACCCCAAAACAAATCACAAGAATAGAAGCATGAAAAGATAAGATAATAAAGTGCCTCCAAAATTTCCCAACTCTCCCAAAGCTGACCCCTGAGACACTGAGGGGGAAGAAGTAAAAAAAAACCACACAGCTCAATTATTCAAAATTATAAAAGAGATAAAAAATAGATCAATAAAGTGTTCATTGACCTTAAAGGAGATATAATTAGAACTTAATAGACTTAAAAAGCAAAATGAAGAATGAGTTTTCAGAAGACACTAATAAAAATCTGTATCAGCCAAGCAAAACAAGACAGAACATGAATGAAAAAAGGTCGTGAGTTCGATTCCCGGTACCAGAAAAAAACCAAAACCAAAAAAAAAAAAAAGCTGGTGTAGTGGCACATGCCTGTAATCCCAGCATTGGAGAGGCTGAGCCAGGAAGATTGCCATGAGTTTCAGGCCAGCCTGGGCTAAATAATTCAAGGCCAGCCTGAACTGCATAATGAGACCCTGTCTCATAATACAAAACAAGACAACAGCAACAAATACAAGAATGACTTACAAGAAGATGTTGATGTGGTGAACAGCAGAGAAAGATTTCCACTGAGCTTTGGTGTCCAGATAGTGGAACATAGCAACTCGAGGAAAAGAAGAAGGAGGGAATTGGGTCAACCGGAC